CTCTGGAGATGAGATTTCAAAGGACACCGGTTATTTAGTCATAGTCCAGAAACAGTATTTGGTTAATTATTTTTAGGCAGCTTTTCATTACATAAACATTGGGCAAGGAACATTTTCAAATTTCTCCCTAGTCATATGTATTTATTGTATTACCTGGTCCATCCGATTTCTTTTTGACTGGTTCATCCTCTTGGTCTTCCCACTCCACAGGACCTGTCGAGTGTGTTCAATTAACACGAGTTAGATTCAGTTAGGGTATATTAAACGCCACTCTACTCTTCTGGATTAAAATAAGTCTTAAAAATTAAATTTCAGATATTCTGCCTATCTGAAGAGTTCCTGGGGAAAACTTGTAAGAATTCATGGCATCCAGAACAAAAATCACAGATACCAAGAAAATAAAATGTAGTCAGTCTTAGTAGTTAGGAAAATTCAAATGAAAATGAAAGCCTTTCATCATCCCAGAGAAAGACAAATAGTAGAAAGAGTAATATATGGGGGATAAAGCTACAGGGAAGTGCACACTTCCGCTCATGGGAGCGTAAATTACTGAAACGGTTTTGGAAAATACCTATTAAAGCCAACAAAAAAAAGCACATCATTTATCCCAGTAATCCCACTTTAAATAACGTATTCTGTGGACAATGCATGTTCTTCCCGACCTTTTGCTATGCATTTAAATACACAGACAAGTCCGACTACATACGAAGTTTTGTTTAGGGATGTCTATGATACCACTGTTCATGGCAGCAGAAATCTGGAAGCTAACTTTTGTCCATTCATGATGTAATAGTTGAATAAATTAAGCATACCCATATCACAGAATATTTTGCAGCTATTAAAAAGGGAAGCTATGGATTTGTGAATACTTAATTGGAGAAATGGTCACAATACATTCCTAATGAACATGTAAGAGCAGTTTGTATGGCATGAACTCACTTTTGAGAAACAAGGGAAACCGTGCTTGCACACATATGTGCAGGCCCATGAGAAAGGAGTGGGAGTGAACACAACATGTTGTGAAGATTTGGTAGCTCAGTAGATGGGTGTCCAGGGCAGACTGTGCATTTATCTCTTGCCTGATGTCTTCTTACATCAGCTCTGTCTTAATTTTGTCTTATTAAACCAAGAAAGTAAAATAAAATTAAAGTTACCTGGAGGTAGCAGGGGGCAGAATGGTAAAAAAGGAGAGAGGTGTTTCTATTTAGAGCTCCATTAAAAATTATGTTTTTTTTCTTTTATTTTTAAATATATTTTTAATTTCACAAAGAATTTATGTATATATTTTCTCTGTAAAGCACAAAAATTTAAGAATTTAGATAAGCCTAACGTTCTCTTTAATCACACCACTTAATCTCAGTCTCTCCACCCCTCCCCCAGAAGCAAGCACTGTTATTAATTTTCTAAGTTTTCTTCCTGACCTTTCTCTTGCATTTACACACTATTATACAAACCCATTAAAATGCAAAATATTTTATTGAGGTTTCCTTTGTTTCATAAATGGTTGCATAATCCGTATGCCATTTTGCAACATAATGCTTTTCATTTAACAATATTTGTCAGGAACTTCTCTCCAAATCAGTTCAAAGGAATCCATCTCATTTTTTAAGCTACTGAAGAGTATTCCATTGTATAATGATAACATAATTTACTTGGATCTCCTTCTTTATGTCGGCATTTCAGATGTTTCTAAATTTTTGTTATTAATAAATAATGTTTGATGAATACCCTTAGCCAGGTGTTTTTGTGCACATGTGCAGATCCTGCTTCAGGTTACGCCACACACCTAGAAGTGGGACTGATCTCTAGTAGGATTGTACACTTAAAATGTCCTCAGATATTGACACATTGCTCTTCAAAGTGGATGGACAACTACAAAAGCACTCAGCTTCCCACTAGTTCCTGTGTTATCAAATGTTTAGCTTCTTGCCAATCCCATAGGTTAAAAACCCAAAATATCAAAAGACTTAGTTTGTGTTTCTCATGTTACTAGTGAAGCTGAGTTCCTTTAAAAAGGCCATTTCCCCCTTTTTTTGATTTGTGAATTGTGTTCATATTTGTTGATCTATTGGGTTGAACTTTTCTTTTACTGATATTTTAGAATCTTATTATATTAAATACTAATCTTCAGTCTGATTTATTTAATGAAAATGTTTTTCCTGAGTGCCCCCACTGCACTTTAACTTTGCTAGTGGTGTGTTTTGTGGTTTGAAATTCCGCCCGCCTGCCTGCACACCCACCCCCCACCCCCCCGGGCTGCTTAGAAATGTGTTTCTCTGATATGCCTTCAAATGCAGCAGTTTAATGTTGAATATGGCATTGGTAGTTATGTTCCATTTTTGGTTCACGATCAAATGTCAAAGGTTCACCTTTATTATTACTTTTTCCAAGAACAGCTTTTAACTTATTGATAAGGTCTTGTCTTATATTTATTTTCTATAACTTAATATCTCTCTCAAAATAAACTTATTTTCTTTCTACAGACTTTCTTTGGGTTTATTTTGCCCCTCTCCCCCATTTTATAAATGCATCTTAACTTAAATTCATGTTTTAATTTCTTCCAAGTGTCAGACACAAGCAATTAAGAACAAGTATAAGTCTTCGCGCTCTTTGGAATTTAAGAGTTTGATGTCTCCAAAGATTCTGTCCTTTGCAGTTCCTCTGTTGTATTCAAGGCCACAGAAATGCAGAGTGTGGCTAGAGCTGCACCCCAGGACACTCACCCTCCCCAGATCCTTTTCTCTGTCTTTTCTGTTCTTCTCTTGCAGACATTTTTTTCTCTTTGCGCCTCTGTCGGAGTGCTGTTTTAGGGTCAGTAATCCAGGCTTGATAAACAAACTGAAGGGAGAAAGTTCAATTATTTTCTGGCTTTTTAATAATTTAATTTAAAGAAAAGAGACCAACACCAAGCTTCCTGACTTTTGGAAACATTATTTTTTCTGCCAACACAAACTAAATACCATCTCCAATATCCTTTCTTTTCCCACCCCCGTATTCTTTCAAATGCTGAGCTGACCTGTGCTATTTTCATTATCATGAAATAGTAGATGGAAACAGATTTGTAGGAATATATTTCATTTGGTATCACAGACAATCATGAGAAACTTTGGGTATATACAAACCAGCATTTTTTTCCAGCTCCCCCTGTACTACTACCATTTGTGACACTTAACTATTGATCTTTCCCATTACACACAATGGAATAAACTGGAGGTCTCACTAAGTATCAATAGAGTAATGTTCTTCCATCATAAATAAACTCTGAGTAAAAAACAAAATAGCATCTTTTACTGGCTTGCGCTGGGAAACAGTTTTTCACATTTGATACCTTCCCCTGTGAATAACAGCTATTACCAGCAACTTGAGAAAGGGCTTTGCAAATTGATTAGTATTTGGAGAGGAACAATACTGTGATATTAAGATTAAGAAGTTATTGCAGATGGTATGGAAGGAAAACTTGAGCTTTTGGTTGCCTTTTGTCATTTTCATTCAAGAGCTGAAAATAGTTGCAATAGTATATTATTATAACCGATAACCATGATAGACCCATGACGAACAGCCCGCCCACTGAGAGTCATGCAGAAGGAACAAAAAGAAAACCTTGATATACAAAGTCAGCCACCTAGAACCACGAAGCCAAGCAGGCATGCGCCTCATGCACCCGCAGACACACCTGGGTCTCAGGGAAGCTGGGTTTTCTGTTCTCATCAGAGAGGTAAAGGAATATTTTGCAGGGTCGCGTGTAGACCCAGGCACTTTCAATTTATTGTATGTAATGTTCAGATTTCTGGGATCTTTGAAAAGCACTGTTTAAGGAAACCATGGGCACTGCGTTGTCAGTAAAATTTAAGAGATATCTGTAGTCCTATCAACAATAAAAGTATATTTTAAAAATTTAAGAGGGATTCAATGTTTCCATATATGGAAATATAAAGGTCATAGGTTATTAAGAAAGAACATGACTTGTCACTGGTAGAAATCTGAATCTTAAGGGCAATTAATGTAAATTTATTATTATTTTTTATTTCTAAATAAAAAACGCAGGAGGCAAACCTATTTTATGCCCCAAATATTTTAAAAAAATGAGATAAACTGAAATTTGAAGAAGGATCAAATAAAGGAATTTATGGTGGATGTTTATTGAGCATGTTAATTGGGAAGTCTAGCAAGAATATCTTGTTAATAAGCAAACTTGCTTCCGCAAAACATTGATTCTTTTAAAAAATCTATTCTGCCAAATGTAAATAAAATTTCAAACTTAAGAGCAAAATATGGTGACATTTTATTTTAAAAAGTTATTAGAATCCTCTTTCTAGAGAATGCAAGAATCCCAAAAGTAAAAAAATAAAAAAAATTCAGGATCTGCAAATGTTATAAGTGCACAACTGGATACATTTTTCTCCTTTGAAGAAAATGAAACCTTTGGGCTGGAGGGTGAGAAGAAGAGGAGGTGCTTTGATTAGACTGAAGAGGTCTTAGGGAAATGGTGAGGACCACTGAAATTTGACTGTGTTGAAAGGGAACTCCTGGTTCTACATATGACACCTAAATGATTAAGACTACTGTAATATTGTAAGAATCTTATTGTAATAAGAATTTAGCTAATACAAATAAGAGGGAAGAAGGGAGGGGGAAAGAATCATATGACACTCTTTATTTGTAGGTAAATTCTCTTAATGCTGATATTTAGAAATACAAATATTTTAGAGTTCCAGGAACATCTGACAGAGGGTCAGTTTCACTTAAGTCCAACTGTGTCAGGAAAAAGTTGATGACGAAGGTGGAGGAGGAAACATCCAATTTCTTACTGAGTCAAGGAATGGCATTTTCTTACTGAAACTTCTCAATTCTTACTTGGTGGCTGGAGCTACCATCCATTTGATGGGTCTCCCTAGGGAATCAGGCCTGAGTTCCACTCACCACAAGTAGAAAATGCATGGAAATGTCTCTAGTGACCTCTGGCTTCTCCAAACTGCACTGCCACTGGATTCCCAACTTTATCTTACATTTTTTTTCTTAAATTTTATTATGCATTATTAAGGAAAATGGAATTCATTTTACCGAACACTTATTATATAAAAAAGAATTTAATCTTTAAAACAGGAGAGAACTTCATTGACACAGAAGATCCTTAACTGAAACTGGTTAAATTTCATATACTGCCCTTTAATTCAGGTGTGGTCCAGGGCTTGCTTTATGTTGTCTGTAAGTAGGGATTTTTTAAATAATAGGATCTAAAAAAAAATAGTAAGATAGTTACATTGTAATCTTTCACAGAAATTCTTTTACATGGATGGAGAGACTCATAGAATAGAGAAGAAAGAATCCGAGGGAAGTGGCAGCGGTGAATATTAAACTAATATGCAGGGACCTAGAGTAGATCCTGCTACTCAAGGTGGTCCAGCTGCTTGCACTCCACCCAGGAGTTCGAGAGAAATACAGAATTTCAGATCCCACCCAGGACCTGCTGAATTTAAATAACCTGCATTTAAATAAGATCCTCAAGTGAACTGTGAGAAACACCAGTCTTGGTCACTATCCAAACCATTTGCTTAACACCGAGGAGCATAAAGACCTAAGCGTTTTCGTGCTTGCCTCAGATTAAGTCAAGAGAAACAGCTTTCCTTCAAGTACAACAAGAGTAACTCACTGCCTATGATTTTCAGTAGTGAAGGGACGACAGCACAGGTAGCTGGATGTGAACAGTTATTCAGCTCAGTACCTGGGTAGGAGCAGCTGCGCAGACTGCACACAGCAGCGCCGGCTAGGGAGGAGGTGTACTGAATTCCCAATGAGAAATGGAAAATGATGTCCAGTTTAGGAAGATGGAGAATTGACAGGAAGCCAGGAAGGAGGTGGAGCAAACTGAATCTTTTATTGGCTTACTTGTAATTTAACCAGCTTTCTGAGAAAAATTATACTTTTCACACATCATAACTGATGCATGCAACCAGATATGACCCTTTTCAAGTGAGATGTGACTTAGACAAAACTACAAAAAGGACAGAAATAGATGTATATCTGCATTTTCTCTTCCTATTTTTCGATAGGCTCTGGTGTCAATGGAAAAACGAGAATCAAATAATATGAAATTTGGCTTCTCAGAACTTTTTATGGAAAACTTTGTCTAACGTTTTAAATTCTTAGAATTCCTTCATTGCTCGATCTATAGAACAGGGAAAATGCAGATGTAGCAACAAGGATCTGCTTGTCTAAAGATCTACAGAGCAGAGGGTCACACACCACACACCAGTAAAACATCAAATACCTTTGCAGCTCTGATTAAATACTGAAGAATAGTTTTGGGAAGTTTAATGACAGACTTTGGCAAGGCTAAAATGGCTGATGCAAACTTCCCAATAGCTCTCTACAAAGAAGGACAAAGCAAGAGTAGTTAGTAGAAAAAAAACAAAAACTAGTAATTTAATATATGATGTCAGCATGAGTTTGTCTCTACAATTACATCAACTAGGCTCAAATGTGCCAGTCACTGAAGCTAGAATAAAAGTGTGCTTATGTTAGAAAGAAAGAAGATAGTCAAACGTTGCACATAATCCATGAAAATAGTCAAGACGACCTCGGTCTCTCCTTTGCTGCATGATGAGTTAGAACAAGAGTCATTAGAGCAAAAATAAACAAGTCAAGTTGTTAGTATTTGACAAGCCAGCTGCATGCATGCACACAGACACAGTCATCTGGAAACGCACTAGGTTAGCAATGTGGCCGGTGAGAAAGCATCAGAGCAAGGTGTCTCCGTGAATACTTTAGTTCTTCAGTGTCACTGGGAAAACGGGTGGATGTAACCTGCCAGCTTGAGAAGACCTGGCCAGCAAACTGACAACAGCCTCTTCAAGGACACAACATGTAATTCTAGGTGCTTGTAGTATAACCAATGAAAACTAACTCCTAATATGTGGCTCTTTCCTAACATCTATATACATATAAGTCTATATCAAGCTTCCATTCCATACGTAACTCTTCCAACAAATCATCATGTTTAGGTAGCACTGATTATACATTCACTGGGTACACTATAGTTAGGCTAATGAGCTATACAACTGAGACTGGTGCAGCAAGTTCCGGGGAGAAAAGGGCAGTGAAGTTGGAAAAAAATCAGAGCTGTGCTAGGTACTTTTATTGTTTCAATAACTTCTCAAATCTTTAGCAATATAAATAAAACTGACTTTCAAAACAAAGCAATATTTAAATGACCATTTGTTTTCAAACAAAGCGTGATCAACTGTCTACATATTGAAATATAAGTCCACTCAAGGAATCCAAAGCAAGGACAGAGAAGTCTTCTTCACCTCCCACTTGCAACAGGAAAATGAAGTTCACCTAAGAAAGTTTAATGTTTTTGTTGGTAGCATCAGAAACATGTTGGATACAAGTGAATGAACCCGACTGGAGCAGTGTTCTTGTGTAGTAGAAACTATGGCAATGCCGAGAGCAAGCAGCATTAGTTTAATGAGGAAAAAACAATTTCAGACGTAGGTCGGAAGCTTAGGGCTCTAACACATATGAACATGGCAGAAGTCTAGGCTTTTAAGCACGATCTGTCAAAAAAAACAAACAAAACTCAATTAGCAAAGAACATGATTTCCCAAATCCCATAATTACCTGGAAAGCTGACTTTTTTGGAGGTTCTTCGTCTTCCTTTTTTAATTCTTCCTCTTCCTCCTCTTCACTATCCGTTTCAAACAAGTAGTAGTCTCCACTCCTGACCACTAAGCAAAACAAAATATTTACTTACTTCTTGAAAGAGATACAAGATAATCAGGGGATTATTCATGAAATGCCCCCCAAAGATACACATAAATTGCCCATAAAAGGACCACAGCAAGAGACATTGATAGAGAGGAAAAATACAAGAGATGAAGAGGATTCATTCTGGGCTATGCTATGTGCTGTTGGCATGACTGAGTCTACAGAGCATGAAGGCCTTGTCTGTGCCATGTAAAAGAATTGGCCACTACTGGGATGATCTGGTATTTTCTTCCTTCTTCGTTGTAAATGTTATACAGACATATCAGATCAACTCTGCAGCAACCAGTTTTGTTACCAAGATGACCAAAATAACTGAAAACTATTTTGCAATTCAGCAATTCTGGTCTTTTAGACAAGGCTGAAGTAAAGTGGAAGGCTTGGTGTTGTCTGAACAGGTCCAAACTGTTGTAGAAAACCAATCAGGAAGATTCAGGACCAAGAATCCGTGTCACCAATCTTCTACTTCACTTTATACTGTGCAGACCTGGCTTCCCCACATGGCACACAAGGGACACAAATATGGCAAGACATTTGAAAGAGTTGATTTTTAAAAAAATAACACATTGCCATGAAGAAAAAAATGGGTGGGCAACATTAAAAAAAGAACACAACCACAATAATGCCACCACCACCACCACTCTGGCTGTTTCTACACAGAGCATGGGACAGACTGAGGCACGGCAGACATGGTCCGTACAGTTTAGTGCTGTTAGACTTCTGGTCAACCAGGAACTCCCCAGTCACTTACTGAAATCTGAGGAGACCTGTACTGAGCATAAGACACCAAGCACAAACAGTATAGATCATCCTTGCCTTGCTTAATACTTTCCCTGCAAGAACATATTGCTGTGCTAAGAGTTAGGATTAGAGAGAGCTAAAATCTCCAGAGATTTATAGGAATTTGAGGATCACATTTTTTTTATCAGTTTGGGCGTTATTTTAAATTTATCAGAGAAAAGAGACCCAGCATACATATTTCTGATGCTACAAGAACTGTACCATCCTTGCAGGAAAACATTAACACTTTCAAGTTATGTTCAAGACTTCAAATGCTGAGTTTTCTTTTGGATAACATAGCATGATGTGTCCAGTTATATTTTGGACTTAAACATTGCAAGGTAATGGAAAACCTTGGCTTGTTTAAAATTAGTTGCTTGAATATCACTAACATGGTCAAAAGGTATATAATTTTGCCCATGATTTCAGACGTATCTGAGGACTCCATCCATGAAGACGCAGAGGGAATGAATTGGGCCTTATATCCTTGAACAGAAGCACTGTGATTTGTTTTTTATTTTTATTTTGAAGAAATAACCAGGCCCAGAGCACTGGGTCCAGGCCTGAGGAAACAAATGCAATATAACATAAGGTGAGAGTAAGCAAGAACAAACCAAAGTGACAGCATTACGTTTGACAGTGAGCAGACCATTAAAGTAATGCCTCAAGGTAAGCTCAGAGATTTGCAGGAAAGTTACATGGACTGTACGTCACATGGTCATTTGGTAAAAACAAGAGTATCAGATTGAGCATTTTACCCTCATTATAGTCTCTAAAATCAACAGTAGCTTAAATTGTATTCAATCATACCTTCTATAACTTTATCCGTGAGGACACTGTGAGGCCTCAGGTAGTCATAGCATTGATTTTGTTATTTGAAAAACTACCGATTTGTATGTGAGAGGTAGAATGAACACATTACAAAAAGAAAAATGTTAAATATTTTCTATTCTTTACCAAATGTTATTGACATAAAACTAGGAAAGTAACAGAGAATATTTTCTTCAGTGCTATCTGCTAATAATGAGTAGAACTCTTACATATGCCTTTGTCAGTGCAGATGAGATCCTGCCTCCAGCCTGTGTCCCTATACGTATTATGGAGTATTATGGATGCCAATGTTATTACTGAGCAACTAAGCATGAAAATAAATTTTAAAGTCCCATCCTCCCAAAATGGGCCCTTTATATCCGATATTTAAATATAAAGTGAGACTTGGCATTGATTTAGACAGAATTAAAGTGACAAGAAGACACACTACACTGAAATGGAAGGTATCATTGAACAGCAATGATGCAATCGCATGTGTGCACATAGGTATGGAAGTGGGAGGTTTGTCACCTGCAGTCTATGTTAAGGTCTCGAATGCTGACCAATAATATGAACAACACGGCAACATTATTATACTGCCAATGGATTTACACAAGGGTATTCCAACCACACTTATTTTTATGCTTGACACCACTAAGAAATATCTACTTGGAAGCCCAGTGACTTTTAGAGAAATAGCGCTTCCAATAAAGTGCTTCCAGATCTGAATATAAGTTTTGGAGCATGTCATAGTGTATAAAATATATCACATGTTCATTCCTTTCCCTTCCTCAAAAGCCTGTAAAGAAAATATATTTTATAGAAAAAAATTTAACACCATGCTCAGAATATGATTCCAACCTATGAATAGCACACATTCATGCATTATTGCATCATAAGGTATTGTAACGAGGCACATTTAGTTTAATACCAGTCTTTGAGAACTTGATATAATGAGGGTGAAATGAATCAGAAAAATCTAAAGACAATACCCTTCATAGGAAGTTCTTTAAATTATTCCCAACTTGTAAGATCATTATCAAAGACCATATCCAAATCCTTCCAAAATGCAACATTTAGATGAGAAAGGAAACACAACCATAATGATTGCAATGGGAATTTATCCCAGCTGAAAAAACAAAACATTTAGTATGACACAATTTTGAAATGGATAGGTCTCTTTAAACTCGCAAAGAACCCTTTAAAAACAGAAAGATAGGCATAGTTTACTTGTGACTTGATAGAAATGGGCACACAGTGCAATGCATTGTTAGATAACCAGCATGACTAACATGTCAATGGGCAATAAATTAGGGTCACAGAGAATTTCACCTTGAATTTTGCCTTTTGACTTTGGCAGAAAATAAAATAAAACTCTTTAGAACAGATGGATTTTTTTTTCTGCCATAATGCTAAAATTCAATATTTGGGGTTAAATTTATTTACATCCACACATACTGAGCAAATTTTGAATATTGCTTTATTAAATTGGTGTACCGATTTAAAAAAAGTATTTCTAGAATCAGAGAAGCTAATACCAGTGTCTTAGGTGACACTAGGAATTAAATATGGGAAAAGATTCTGATCAATTTGATTCTCTACTGATTCTAAATATCCCACTAGTAGAGTCTCTCCAATCATCATGTGATGGAATGAGCCTTGATGATATTCCTTGTCTGATTATATGAGCTACAGTTATTAAAACACAGAACAAGACATAAAAGACTGAAGATATTATAAGTAATTTTCAAAATAATTAATAATTCCTTAATTTCTAGTACATTTAAAGAGGGCTGGATTCAAAGGGATCATTCCATTAAAATACCATTGGCCAATACTGGGTGATAGATAGTTCTTTTGCCAAGCAGAACAAATACAGCCACAGAGTACCATAATTCCTCATTACTTTTTTATGCTCAGGAGGGAAAAGCACTAATTCCATGTGGCTATCAAGTACTGCTTTTCAAAACTGTTTTCTGACTCCTCTTAACTGGTCCTGGCTGAGCTGCAGGTTGCCTGAGGCCACACGCTATGAGCCTTTTTAAAACTAGGGAGGAGGCCGAACTAAAAAGTACATTCATTTTAAGTTGTTCTCATTTTTATATTTAATAAAGTGTAAAAATTCCTCACATGCAAATAAAATCTAAGCTCTGGGAAGGGGGGTAGGGGAGGCTCATTGGCATCCACGCCTAGTGTCTTACAAGAGGGTCGCTAACACTGTGAACATAATGATGATCCTTAAATCAGGGTCCCAGGAGGCACAGAAACTTATTTTTATTAAGGGTTTGAAGCCATAAAACAAATACACATCAGCAGGACTCCACACCTCAGGAGTGGATAACATAGCAATCAATGGTTCTTTCCTTTCTGAGCCCGTAAATGGTGATCGAGCTTGGCTTTCTTCAGCCAGCATGTAATCACTAATTTCTCTGGAAGATTCTGTCTACAGGCTCAGAGAGTCATTCATATCTCAATTTTCCTATACTCCGACCCCCTATCAAGTCACAAGGATCAAACCATGCATGAAAACACACAGGCCATGGGGACGCCTGAATTCTGGTCAAGGATATAAGGGTTAGAACTGACAAAATTGTAAGAGGATCGAGAAAACCTACTGGAAGCATGATCAACCCAAGGCCGCCACCACTGCTTTTTTTTGCCCTTGGCTTTCTGTTTGTCTGCTTCTCCTAAAATAAAATATGTCCAAATATTAATTCTTACAAAGCGAGAAAACAAATTTTGAAAACCACGCTAAAAACAACTCAATTGTTAAAATCTAGATAAGTTGCAAAAGTACATCAGAGGTCAGGAAAAGGAACTATACGGAAGCTGAAAAATTTACATGTAATAGCAATTGAGTTCACAAGGTAAATACTGTGTTCTATTCACATTATGCCACATTTCCGTTTTCTTTTTAGTAACAGAAAAAAATATTTACAAAGGTATTATCTGTCAAAAATACATTTCACACTAAATTTTTTTTGAATCAACAGAAAAAGCATCACCCAAAATTTATAGCACAATTCAGTGGCAAATAATTTGTTAAAACCGTATGTTCCCTATAGTCAGACATTTTTCTTGCGATTATTTGAATATATGGTTGAAAAAATGTTTACTAGTGATGAATAGATACTATCATGCATTATTTCTTCATTCCCTCTAAATAAAAAAGCATTCAAACATTTATAAGAAGACCTTTTCAACTTTTCTGGGTATAATATAGCTATTATTAGATATCATGAATACATTTAAATATAAATATCATTAAATGATACTTTGCCATTATTTAGACACCACATAAAATATGCATATATACTTAGTTTTCATATAATATTCATAGAAATCAAAGATTACAGTAGATTGCATATCTGAAATATCTTCCCTAAAGGAATAAATTAAGCGAATTTATGCCCAATTCCTTCAGAAACACATCTGTGAATCAGAAGGCAGGTTACATATTGATGTAAGTTGTTTTGCTGAAGAGAAGATACTTGTAAAGTCATGGATTCATTAAATGTGTACTTCATGAAACAAATAAAGGCATCCCATCCACAACGGAATGTAAAACTTGTCAAGTTACAAAAATACATTGATAATATTGGCAAAATGAAAACTAACATGATTTTACAGCCCTACCCAATATCATGCTATTATTCAATATCAAGGTACTTGAGCAAGAGGGAAATGTCTCGACATACTTTCGTCATCCTCTTCAGAGAGTTTTTGGATGTCTTGGCCTTCCCCTGACTCCTGGGTCAAGCTCAGCATCCTCTCCTTACCCTTTTTGTATTTCTGTTGCCTGGCCTTAATGCGATCCATCCTGAAAAGATGCAAGAGCAGCAGCAATGCCAAGAACACGTCCGCAGTTATCCTATGGTCATACTTTGGGTTTACACTTTTAAGTACATAGCTAAAAGCATGAACACGGTGGTCGATATTTGGACTTGTGAATGGTTTCTTATTAGAAACAAGTATCTCCATTTTTTTTATATACTTACGCTACTTTTTACTACACAGATGCAAGCCTTAATAATATGACTGATAATAATTTGCTAAAGTTTTATATGCAATACTTTATGTCTACTTATACCGTGTACCATACCTGTCTGAATGCAGCATATTATCCTATACTATATAATAAAAGCCTAATATGCTAAGTGTCTGACTGTTTGACCATTTGGCCAGTTGCTATGGCACACACTGACCACCAGGGGGTAGATGCTCCGAGTATTTGGTTAGCTTGCTGCTGGGGTCTCGCTTATCAGGACTGGGTGAGATGGGCCGGACGCCCCCTGGAGCCCTCCCACGGTTCCTCCCTGGCCCTGATCATGCACCAGTGGGGCCCCAGCCTGACCTGTGGGGATTGGGCCAAAACCAGCTCTCCAACATCCCCCAAGGGGTCCTTGATTGAGAGAGGTCTCAGGCCAGGCTGAGGGACCACACCAGTGCACAAATCTGTGCACCAGACCTCTAGTGAAATATAAAGTCCTTTATTCTCCCAGGTTTTGCATTTTTAAACATCTGTCTACCTTACATGGTTGTTGTGAACATCAAATGACAAAAATATGTGAATGTGAGAACTGTTGTAAATAGCAAGTCGCTCATAAAATGTTAATAAGTATTTTGTTAGATCATGCTTCTTCTCTATTTCAAATCTAATCTCTTATTGGTTCTGGACAAATGTATTACTGTATCTTTAATTATTGACTTAGTACCTTTATTTTGTGTGCTTATTTAGGAAGTCTATTTAGAAACTGCAATGTTGAACTCTATTTCCTAGGTCTGCCCTCCTGAAATGTTTCATTGTTTAATTCAGTTTCTTACAATTCTGGATATATTCTTCAAGAACTGGTTTAAGCACCATTTCTCCTTTGTGCAGCTAAAACATTTTCAGTTTATCTTTTGCAATCACTGTCTTCATTCTTTTTTATTCTGACCTTCTATCACTTAAGCAAATGACACAATTCAGTGAAGTGAATTACAGTAACAGGCCTCAATTATGGGAACACATTCTAAATGTGGGTCCAAATTGGTTATTTCTCTAGACCTAAGGTATTTAGAAACAACATTAGCAACAGTTACACTGTATCACACTATATAGCTCATATATGTGAGCGTAAAATAACCATGCCATGGAATACGTGTAATTTGTACTAGCAAATATTTTTGCATGGGTAAAAATGAGGTCAGAATGCAATGAACTAGTTTAAGCAAACTCAGGGAATTTTTCTCGTGTGCTGAATTCTAGGTTGTCAGCTCTTAAACTTGCCCTCCAAACATGAAGGGCTACCGACCCTCAGAAGTTCCATTCATTGCTGGAAATCTCACTCGAAGAAAATTCTTTACAATGTGCCAAAAATAAACAAACAAACAAAACCCCCTGGAACTCAAATTCTCAAATCTCTTGGGTGAAGTCAGTCCATGACTCAACTTCTCCAGGATGCTCTGTTGGAAAAGGTCTTGAACTGAATATAGGGAAGGATGGGTTGCATTTCTAGTGCTGCCTCTAGTTAGTTGTGAATTTTAAATGATCTAATACTGTGGGTCATCAGTTTCTTCCTGAAGAGACTGGATGATATTATCTCTAAAGATCCTTCCAGAGCCAGAACTCTGCATTTATTCCCTTAACCCACAGGTGTGATGATCATTTATTCCACGTGCCTGGCACTGTGAAGGGCGCTGTTTCATTCATTACCTTGTTTAATCTTTCTAAAAACCTCAGGGAGAATTGTCATCCCTAATTTAAAGCAGAAAATTAAAATCCAGAGAATGTGAATGACTCGCTCAAATTATCAAAGTAAGCAACCAAACTAAGCCTTGACATTGGCCTTACCCAAGTCGGCTCCCTTTCTACCACAATGTAGCCAACTTTCTTTTTAAAGACTTCCATGTTCAGCCTATCAGGCACACCAGTAAATACCTGGGAAGTTGTGAATCAATTTTTCAGGGGGTTGAGCTTCTAGAGCAGTGGTTCTCAACCTTCCTAATGCCGCGACCCTTTCATACAGTTCCTCATGCTGTGGTGACCCACAACCATAAAATTATTTTCATTGCTACTTCATAACTGTAATTTTGCTACTGTTATGAATCATAATATAAATATATGATATGCAGGATGTATTTTCACTGTTACAAATTGAACATAATTAAAGCATAGTGATTAATCACCAAAACAATATGTAATTATATATGTGTTTTCCGATGTGTTTTCCAAAGGGGTTGAGACCCACAGGTTGAGAACCGCTGTTTTAGAGAGAGAGCTGAGAGTGTCTGAATGGGATCATACCAACCAATACTAAAAGGAACCGAGAAGAGGAAAATAAAGCATCCTTACTGCCTCTTCAGCTGATCCATTGACTTTTTCTCTTCCTCAATTCTTGCTTTCACAGCCTTTACAATTGTGGCCTGGAAAAGTTCAGCCCCCCTAAAGGAAAATTGGAAACAGAACAAATTAGTATTTCTAATAATATAGAACCCCTAAAATAACTATAAGGGTTTGAAAACATTTCTTGTTGGGCTGTAGACTGAAATTTCTCAGCCCCTTCTGAGTGGACAGATATGGTACAGCCTCCCCCAGGACGGCGTGGCTGCTCACAACCTTGAGAGATCAGTAAAACTAAAATGGTTCGTGTTTCTTAAGACATTGAAAGCCACGCGCCGCTTCAAACCTGTCCCACAGAACGTTATACCTAAGGTTACTCACCTGACCTTATTCTAGCTTGTTCCACTAGGGAACATTTGCAAGAGTGAGTTCAGATTGGTTTTCTACTCAATACCTAAGGACAAGTGCAAAGTTGAATTGCAAGCCCCATCAATAGGGTTTTCAGTCTCTTGCTTCTTTGATTCTATTCTTTCTATCCTTCCCCTCCCTTCTGCTTTTTCTCACATTTCAAGCCAACTTAAGGGTCCCCAGAGATCTCATCACCCTAAAATCCTCAACTGTGTCCCATCGTCACAGGTCACAATCACTCGGCGTGTGGCAATTCTGCAGAATCTCAGTGGTGTTCCAGCCCTGTGTTGGACGGGCTAGCATCAGAGGCGCAGGAACGCATGGTTGGCCGACTAGCCACTGCACCGCACTCTCTGGAAGCTTGTCTGCTCCGCTCCAGTGGCTATTTCACACTTCTTACCCTTTTCTCAAATCCTGAGTTCTGCCAACGGCTCTTCACTCCTAGTAAACGGCCTAGCTTCCTACTTCCCGGAGAGAACATAAGTCATGAGCAAGTATTTGCTCAGCTTCCCGCCACCTATCCTGTGGGTACCCTTTCTCGGTGACAGTGGAAGAGGTGACGTTCTCCTGCCTAAGGCCGCCTGTGCTCAGGTGTCTTCCCCACCTGCAGCCTGAGGGACTCCATCCTCCCATTTTCTCCTTCTCTTCCTGCATTTTCAACCTTTCCACTGCCACCAAAACCTGCTTATAGGCATGCAAACATTCTCAAGCCTTAGAAAAAGAACCCATGTACCTCACACTTTCCTATGTACAGCCTTACATTACTGCCCCAGGTTTTGGGTGTACAATTCTTTGATATATCATCCGTATATCGTATTATATGGTCACCACCCCAAGTCAAGTCCCCTGCCTCCAAGCCTTTACTTTCAACCTCAGCTCACTGGTGTCTGGTTCTGATTCTCACCTGTCAAGGTCACTGATTGCGCTGTTCAATTGGCTAGTGTCTCTGATACGGGTACAGCAGTCTAGGGGGTCACGCACCTAGCCATCTCGATGGCATTCCTTTTAATACTTAGTCCTCTTCCTATTCTTTCCCCCTAAGCCTACAAGATCAGGGGCAAAAACTGGAAGAAGCGTGGAGACTAAGAAGTCTGCCCTACCTCGATGCCAGGATCTGTGAAGCTTTTATATCCGCCACAACGTGTAGGAAATAGTAACTCATAAAAACTCTTCTCTGCAGCAGGAGGAAGGCAAAACATATACTGTCCCAAATGATTCCTGCTTCACCACTGGGTAGTTTACATGAGGAATCAGCATCAGCTGAGGCAAAAAATTAAAATAAGTAAAATTAACATCCTTTTTTTTGTTATTTTATAAAACCCGTGTGTGATCAGGCTTGGGAAATCACATAGGCATGAAAGCAACATTCTGATCCATCAACTCACTTATGAGTTGATTTATTTACGAGCAAGGCCATGCACTTAAAGTCCAATGTGAACATTGATCCATGAGGCTGACCGCAAAGCGAGCTCTTGACAATGTAAAGCACAGGAAGGGCTCTTTGCTAAGGAAGACTCCTGAGTGTTCCTTTCTTCTAGGGAGAGAGGGACTCCTTTCCCCCCACCCCCCAACAAAGGCCATAAAGAAATAATGACTGCATGTCTCAATGCCAGAGGCAATGCTCTGGTACAAAATAAAACACCCTTTCTGGAAACGGGCTCCAGCCAGCGGTAGGCAGCACACTGGGGCCTATCAGAAGAAAGGGTCTCAACAGCACATCTGATCCGAAGTCAAAGCAAATCCCCCGTGACTCTGCATCCTCCGCACAGGGTAGCCTGGGTTAGCAGCTGCAGTGGGGGAGCGCCATGTTCAAGCTGCCCCCATTCTAGGCACCCGGGAGGACCGTGTGTGGTGTTGCCCTGGGTGCTGATGCAAGAGGCAGAGAGATGAAAATGGGACTTCTGCCTCTGTCTTGGTGGGAGTGTAACTCCAGAAAATCTACAGCTCTTCCCACTTGTTTCCTGAGTTTGGGGTTCTCTGAGCTTCCAGAGGAGAAAAGAACATGGAAGTCAGAATTACATTGATGCCTGAAGATTCTAACTGCACACAACCACAGGTTTGAGTGGGCATCTGTAACTCATCCTAATCATAATTCAAAATGTTCAGGGAGCTACTACAGGCAACACCCAGCCTCCAGACCTGCCAGGATTTAGGATGTTTTTAGATGACAATCTATGATGTCCAGAATAGGAGCATTTCCTTGTTATGGACAATAGAGTCATAATGTAGTGCAATCCTATAGCCTCCATGTACAGATCAAACTGAACTCCATTTTTATCTCTCTCTCTCTCTCTCTCTCTCTCTCTCTCTCTCTCTCTTTTTTTACATGTTTTGGCCCAACGTTTAAATTATAACAATACAGCTGCCCTTCCCTCTTTGTTCTTCCATTCCCAAATATGCTTCTCATACTTACGCATTTTATAGCCTTTGACTGTGCAGGCCAGGCTGAAAGCTTGGATCAACCAGCAACTATTCTTAACCAATTTTTCGATGTATCCACATGCTCCTATCTGAAAAACAAATGGAAAAGGCAAATTCTGAAATTCTGCACCCAGAAAAAAAAGCTTGATGTCTTGTGATCCTAACAGGTGCAAGAATTCACAAAGTCTCAGTGCCAATGACTGTGGGAGGTCCTGACACGTAAAATTATAGTCACCACTGGGTGGTGCTATGAATGCTTCCGGAGCACCATCATTTCCCAGGGAATATTAGACGCAATGAGTAAAGGAAGCATCTTCAAGGTGATGTTTGCTGCACTTGGAAGCACCTCTCTTTTCAAAGAGGAAATCTTGGATTATCATAGAAACAAGCTGAACTCTGTGATCATGAATGGGTAAGCACTGAACTCTAGGACTTTGATTTTAGTCCAGTTATTTCCTGGCCTGTCAGACATATGAAACCTCTGCTCTTTGCCAGGACATCATCATGAACATAAGCTGCATGATATATAGCTCTTAGAATAGGAGCTGCTTTTTTTTTTTTTGCCAATTCTCTGGGTAAAGGAATATGTTTTTTGTTGATTTGATTTTTTGTCTCATAACAATGCTTTCTTGTCATGTATTACACATAATTATTGTAAGCCAGCACATAAAAGTGATGGCTGAATTATGCAGATTTCTTGGGGATATGTGAGATAGGAGAATATAATTGGAATTTTCTCCCAAATCAGCAGTAACCCAGCATCAGTACATGCTTTCTGAATTCACATTTCAGTCGTACACAGCCATGCGTTTGTTCAGATTCCCAAGTTGGGAGTATTCTCCCTGCCTTGTCTACCTGAACACCCTTCAATCTCTCTTTCAAGTCTCTGATGGTTCAAATGGCATCACTTTAAAAAGCCTGTTCCCAACTTATCTAGGCAATATATTAAGTACCCCTTTTTTGTTTTATTTTCCTGAACCCTTGTGATAATTAGCATCAAAAGATCATATAATTATAAGAAGGTCTATCTTTCCTTGCAGAATGTGAGTTCCTTGAGGATAAAATTTGAGTGCTATATATTTTTAGCAGTGCCTAGCAAAAAACAGTGCAATTTAGGTTTACAGAATGAATTCATGAACTTTGTAGACAGATTTTCCAGGAATGGTTGTAGGGATCAGCTTCTAGTAACAGATCCTTCACCATCAGATTGGCTTTAGAATGAAATGGTGTTCTGTTGTCTCTCATACCCTCTCCTATAATTCCCAATGCTACCCCAAATGTACATAAATACTGGTGTGGTAAAATTGATAAATAAAAGTTTACTTTTATGTCAACTAGAAAATCAACATTTCAATGGATTGTAGACAAAATAAATTATTCAAACACATATTCATGGTTACACAGACTTGACTTTTCAAGACTTCCAAATACAGCAGTGGATGTGCCGTTGCCCCCTCCCTCCCAAATCAAATGCTTTCAAAGTTAAATTGCCTGCCTAGTGAGCTCATCTTTAAGTAGTTAGGAAGGGGAGAAGCAGGAAGTCATTACATCACTATTCTTCTAATGCATTATCACCTATAGCCTGGGAGTAGCAGGTACTAGGATTAACTTTAAGTTAGGGCAACTAGAGATGTATTAACTCCTTCAGTTCATGGACGATTATTGTTTAATATCCTGAAATAACAAAGAACTTAACTGTGTCCTAACAGATTTTATGTGACGTTGGGGTTACAAGGGGGCAGTTTGAGTTATCGATCAGGTCAGGGAGAAAGCTGTGCTCTGGAACATGGAACTTTAAGAGCAGAGCAGCCAAACTTTGAGGAAGAAAGAGGTGGTTTTTGCCTCAATCCTTTGTTGCCTTAGCTGGGCCCTGGTCAGAATGCCTGTGCTCAGAGGCAGCAGTGGCACTGTGATTGCTTCTGTATCTACCCACATCTCATGTGCACATAAAACATTCATGCTTTCAATAGTCTATTTCACTTCATTCCTCTCCCACACAATGTCATAGAGAACTATGATTTTGTATTTAATAATTCTATAACTCTTTCTAGATAAGAGAGTTGCTTTTAACCAACATAATATGACTTTAAAGGGTCATTTTGCACTAGTAAGAATGATGATAAATTAGTCCTCAGAAAAGATGGGATTTTAATGAATAAAATATGTTTTAGAGTTTATTCTGATGAATACATATTCTCTCATCATGTGACCTTGAAATGGTGGAAAAAAAGATTCTGCTTAATATGGCAAAACAAAGAGTAATAAATGGTCATTTGAATTCTGAATTTGCAGCATCTCATTTGGGGCTTTTAAGAGAGCAGTGTGATGGATGATGGGTTTTTAATAACCACTGAATAGACTGTTTACTCTTACACTGAAACCACAAATGTGTTACACAGTGGGAGCCACTTACTGACAGTATGTTTTTCATCGTAATCACAAAGACGTTGTAAGCAATCAGCCAGTCCCAATAGCGCAGGATGCTCTTGATAGGTTTCAGCAGCAGATCACCCCCAAAGAGCAGGAAGTAGAAGCACGCCACCAAGTAACCCATGCAAAAGATGCTGATCCTGGTTGTCCCGGTGATGAAGATGATTGTGAGGACGAACCAGAAGAGGTAGCTAAAGATGATCACTTTGGACATGTCTAAGTATGATCTGGAAAATAAAACCAAACCATCAAAGGACAACAACAAATAAAAACATTAAGTTGGGAGATTCTACTTTAATGAGGGTAAAAACTATACTATAGCCCTAGCCGGTTTGGCTCAGTGGATAGAGCGTCGGCCTGCGGACTCAAGGGTCCCGGGTTCGATTCCGGTCAGGGGCATGTGCCTTGGCTGCGGGCGCATCCCCAGTGGGGGGTGTGCGGGAGGCAGCTGATCGATGTTTCTCTCTCATCGATGTTTCTAGCTCTCTGTCTCTCTCCCTTCCTCTCTGTGAAAAGTCAATAAAATATATTTTAAAAAAAAAGAATTAACAAAATTAATTCAGTGTTCTTCGGCAACAGAGTAAATGAATAAATACTGCCAGAATGATCCCCACACAATGGTTATCATGTGTGTTAAATCCTTCAACAAAATATAGGGAGATTACAGTCAAAGGAATGATTTCTGTTCTAGTC